AATACACCAAAAAGAGACATTATTTTCATTACAGGAGACTGGAATGCCAAGGTGGGAAGTCAAATGACAACTGGGATCACAGGCAAGCATGGTCTGGGAGAACAAAATGAAGCGGGACGCAGGCTGATAGAATTTTGCCAGGAAAACTCGCTGTGTATAACGAATACTCTCTTCCAACAACCTAAAAGGCGGCTTTACACATGGACCTCACCAGATGGTCAACACCGAAATCAGATTGACTACATCCTTTGCAGCCAAAGGTGGCGGACATCCATCCAGTCGGTGAAAACAAGACCTGGGGCTGACTGTAGCTCAGATCACGAACTTCTTATTGCTCAGTTTAGAATAAAACTAAAGGGATCAGGGAAAATACACAGACCAGTTAGATATGATCTCACTAACATTCCTAGCGAATATACAGTGGAAGTGAAGAACAGATTTGAAGGACTAGATTTAGTAAACAGAGTCCCAGAAGAACTATGGACAGAAGTCCGCGACATTGTTCAGGAGGCGGCAACAAAGTACGTCCCAAAGAAAAAGAAAACCAAAAAGGCAAAGTGGTTGTCTGCTGAGACACTGGAAGTAGCCCAAGAAAGGAGGAAAGCAAAAGGAAACAGTGAAAAGGGGAGATATGCCCAGTTAAATGCGCAATTCCAGAGGTTAGCCAGAAGAGATAAGGAACTATTTTTAAATAAGCAATGCATGGAAGTGGAGGAAGACAACAGAATAGGAAGGACAAGAGACCTCTTCCAGAAAATTAGAAACATTGGAGGTAAATTTCAGGCAAAAATTGGTATGATAAGAAACAAAGATGGCAGGGACCTAACAGAAGCTGAAGAGATCAAGAGAAGGTGGCGAGACTATACAGAAGATCTGTCTAGGAAGGATAATAATATTGAGGATAGTTTTGACGGTGTGGTGAATGAATTAGAACCAGACATCCTGAGGAGTGAAGTTGAATGGGCCTTAAGAAGCATTGCTAACAACAAGGCAGCAGGAGACGACGGGATCCCAGCTGAACTGTTTAAAATCTTAAAAGATGATGCTGTCAAGGTGATGCATGCCATTTGCCAGCAAATATGGAAAACACAAGAATGGCCATCAGACTGGAAAAAATCAACTTATATCCCCATACCAAAAAAGGGAAATGCGAAAGACTGCTCCAACTTCCGTACAGTGGCCCTTATTTCTCATGCCAGTAAGGTAATGCTCAAGATCCTGCAAGGAAGACTCCAGCAATACATGGAGCGAGAGTTGCCAGATGTTCAAGCTGGGTTTAGAAAAGGCAGAGGAACGAGAGACCAAATTGCCAATATCCGCTGGATAATGGAGAAAGGCAGGGAGTTTCAGAAAAACATCTATTTCTGCTTCATTGACTATTCTAAAGCCTTTGACTGTGTGGATCATAATAAACTGTGGCAAGTTCTTGGTGGGATGGGCACCTTGTCTCTCTCCTGAGGAATCTGTACAAGAACCAAGTAGCAACAGTAAGAACTGACCACGGAACAACAGACTGGTTCAAGATTGGGAAAAGCGTACGGCAAGGCTGCATACTCTCACCCAACCTTTTTAACTTGTATGCAGAACACATCATGCGATGTGCGGGGCTGGATGAATGCAAAGCTGGGGTGAAAATTGCTGGAAGAAACATTAACAACCTCAGATATGCAGATGACACCACTCTGATGGCCGAAGGCGAGGAGGAGCTGAGGAGCCTTCTAATCAAGGTGAAAGAAGAAAGCGCAAAAGCCGGGTTGCAGCTAAACGTCAAAAAAACCAAGATTATGGCAACAAGAATGATTGACAACTGGAAAATAGAGGGAGAAAACGTGGAGGCCGTGACAGACTTTGTATTTCTAGGTGCAAAGATTACTGCAGATGCAGACTGTGGCCAGGAAATCAGAAGACGCTTACTTCTTGGGAGGAGAGCAATGACCAATCTCAATAAAATTGTTAAGAGTAGAGAGACATCACACTGGCAATGAAGATTTGCATAGTTAAAGCAGTGGTATTCCCTGTAGTAACCTATGGATGAGAGAGCTGGACCTTAGGGAAGGCTGAGCGAAGGAAGATCGATGCTTTTGAGCTGTGGTGCTGGAGGAAAGTGCTGAGAGTGCCTTGGACTGCGAGAAGATCCAACCAGTCCATCCTCCAGGAAATAAAGCCCGACTGCTCACTGGAGGGAAAGATACTAGAGACAAAGTTGAAGTACTTTGGCCACATCATGAGGAGAAAAGAAAACCTAGAGAAGACAATTATGCTGGGGAAAGTGGAAGGAAAAGGAAGAGGGGCCGACCAAGGGCAAGATGGATGGATGGCATCCTTGAAGTGACTGGACTGACCTTGGAGGAGCTGGGGGTAGTGACGGCCGACAGGGAGCTCTGGCATGGGCTGGTCCATGAGGTCACGAAGAGTCGGAGACGACTGAACGAATGAACAACAACAATACTACTCTGGCTACTAATTAAGGAGTTTTGGGAGCTTCAGTCTAAAAAGTAGATTTTCCCAAGCTGTGGCCTTCCTTAAACATTCCTTAAACCAGAGGTCCTCAAACTAAGACCTGTGAACTGGATGCAGCCCTCCAAGGCCATTTACCCAGCACCTGCATTAAACCTCAGACTTAGAGGCACCCTAAATCTGAACTGACTTGAAGGCACACAATAACAACAACCCTAATTTATGACCATCTCATCAGCCAAAAGCAGGCCCACACTTCCCATTGAAGTACTGGTAAGTTTCTACTGGTTATAATTGTTTTTTCATGTTTTGGTTTTTGGTTTTGGGTTTTTTTTTGTTTTTGTTTTTTAGTTGTTTTTAGGGGTGGGTGGGGGTTTAAAGGGGTAATTAATTAAGATATACGGTAAAGGGAGTCACAACTGGAACCTGTATCCTAGCCATAAAGATTGTAAACAGTTTTTATGTTATCTTTTAGATGGCTAAGGTTCGTATTGTATTGTTTTGTTATCTGTATGAAAAAATTAATAAAAAAATAAAAAAGAGTACTTGCCTCAAACAGGCAAGAGTTCTTTCTCCCACCCTGGACGTTCCACAGATATATAAACCCCACTTGCCCAGTTTCCAACAGACCTCGCAACCTCTGAGGATGCCTGCCATAGATGTGGACCAAACGTCAGGAAGGATGCTTCTGCAACAAGGCCATACAGCCAGAAAAACTCACAGCAACCCAGTCTGAGGGACCTCTGCTTAAAAAGTTTGAGGACCTTTGATGCTGAGTGCAATTTCTGTGTTGTGGCTCATGTTTGTGCCACCTGTCTCAGTTTGTTAGTTGTTGGCTCCCACAAGCCTATTGTACCCAATAGTTGAGGCACCTCCTTGTCCAGTTTGGACTCCCAACATATTCTTAGGCCTGAAGCAAAGAAATCTTAGGGCAGTGACAGAAAAGAGGCACTCTGCATTTGAGAGAGTCTAAGTCTCTCTCCTGGGCCTCTTACTTTGATTCCTACTGATAAGAAGAGACAGTAGTTGGCTAAAACAGTCAAAACTTCAGCTGAGGAGCTCATAAACCTTTTGACACTTCAATAAACCAAAAACACTTCAACACTGAAACATTTCCCTTTTTCACTTTGAGAATCCTCAGAAGACAGAATACAATAAGTTGTATAGTGATATAGGTCCAGGGTTTCTGAAAAACTGATGAAAATGTCAAGGGCTTCTACTAATATCTTCCTAGAAATAAAAAGCATCCTCTTCAAAATACAAAGGAGGGAGTTCATATCTCATCTAGGTTTCAAAGACATTCAGAACTCTGTTGTCTCTCCTGCTGGAAATATGGGGTCTTTCTAGACAGAGCATTATCCCAGGAGCATTCACTTTCTGGGGTGGGTGCCCAGATGTCCTTCTGGGACTGGTTTGGGAGGACACTGGGACACTCTACCGCCCTCCCCAAAAGCCCCCAAAAGCTGAAACATCCCCAAAAGTTTCAGCTTCACGGGCAAGTGACTCAAAGAAGGTGAAGCCAACCACTTGTCTATTGGACCCCTGCCCATTCGGGCATATTCATGGAATCATAAAGTTGGAAGAGACCTCATGGGCCATCCAGTCCAATCCCCTTCCAAGAAGCAGGAACATTGCATTCAAAGCACCCCAGACAGATGGCCATCCAGCCTCTGTTTAAAAGCTTCCAAGGAAGGAGCCTCCACCACACTCTGGGGCAGAGAGTTCCACTGCTGAATGGCTCTCACAGTCAGGAAGTTCTTCCTAATGTTCAGATGGAATCTCCTTTCTTGTAGTCTGAAGCCATTGTTCCTTGTCCTAGTCTCCAGGGCAGCAGAAAAAAAGCTTGCTCCCTCCTCCCTGTGACTTCCTCACACATTTACACATGGCTACTATCATGTCTCCTCTCAGTCTTCTCTTCAGGCTAAACATGCCCAGCTCTTTAAGCCGCTCCTCATAGGGCTTGTTCTCCAGACCCTTGATCATTTTAGTCACTCTCCTCTGGACACATTCCAGCTTGTCAATATCTCTCTTCAACTGTGGTGCCCAGAACTGGGCACAATATTCCAGGTGTGGTCTATTAAGTATATTAAGGTCTCCTATTAAACCCTTCTCTTGTGGAGCTTGGAGAGCATGTCTTGTCGAAGGCTTTCATGGCCGGAATCAATGGGTTGTTGTAGATTTTTCCGGGCTATATGGCCATGTTCTAGAGGCATTTTCTCCTGACGTTTCGCCTGCATCTATGGCAAGCATCCTCAGCCTCAGGCCCCTTCCTTTTGCCCGCTTAAGCGGCTGAGGGGCTGGCTGAGGGGGGAAAGGAAGGGGCCTGAGGCTGAGGATGCTTGCCATAGATGTAGGCGAAACGTCAGGAGAAAATGCCTCTAGAACATGGCCATACAGCCCGGAAAAACCTACAACAACCCTTGGGGAGCACGCTTTAGGTGTCTCATGGCCTGGTGTTGGCCTCCCTCCCACCCGGATCCCCCCGGGGTCTTCCCTGCTTGGCTCCCGAAAGACCTCCGAGGGGAAGCCGCCCCGCTTTTTACCTTGAGATAATCATTCTCAGAGCGCAGTTCCTCGATCTCCCGGAGCAGCTCCTCCTCGTCGGCGACAGGCTGTTTCGCGTAGAGGGGCGTCCCGAGCGGGGCTTTTCCTCCCCCTCCCCCTCCTCCGGGCCTGCTTTTGGGGGCGGCTTTGCCCCCCGGCGGCCCATCGCCGGCCTCTGGGTGCGGAGGCTCAGCCTTGGCGGGCGGCGGGGCGGCGGGCCCTTGGCTGGAGGCAGCCTCGGAGGCGTGGAGGGGAGGCAGGAGAGCCTCCCTTTCGCGGTCGCTGGACTCGGCGTCGCTGCTGGCGGCCTGGGCGAGCCTGGGCTCGTCGGAAAGCGGCTCGGAGGGGCAGTCGGAGAGGTCGGAGCTGCTGTCGGTGTGGCTGATGCGGACGGCGGGGGGAGCCAAGGCGGAGGAGGCAGCGGCGGAGGCGGCGCGCTTCCCCGCCTTGCTGCCTTTGCCTCCCCCTTCGAGAGGCGGGTGCGGCGGAGGCTTCCCGGCGGCCCGCTGCTCCTGGGCCCGCTTCTTGCTGGAGAGGGCGGCTTTGGCGGAGCCCCGCAGGCAGAGCCCGCTCGGGGAGGCCGGCGAGGCCGGGGCTGCTGCTGCTGATGATGCCGCTGCTGCCTTGGCGCCGCTCCGGCGGGAGAGCCGGGCGGGAGGGGCGGTCCAGAGCGCCGGGGAGTGGGCCCGTCCCCCGCTGGTGGGCTTGGCCGAGAGGCTGGGGGACTTGGGGGGCGCGGGCGGGGGCCGGGCGGGCGAGGCGCGGGCGTGGAGCAGCGGGTCCTTGAGGAGGAGGAAGGGCCGGGCCGGCGACGGGGCGCGGTGGAGCCGCTTCTTCTCCGGCAGCGAGGGCGAGGCGGGCGGCTTCAGGGGCTCGTTGAAAGTCTCCATCGGAGGAGGAGGAGGAGGAAGAGCAGCACTTGAGGCTCGCCTCGAACACAGGAGCCGCGCTCTTCCTCCTCTCCTTCCTCCTCCTCCTCCTCCTCGCCGAGCCCTGAGGCGAAGGCGTCCTCCTCTCCTCCGCCTCGCCTTGGCTCTCTCATCCCTCTCCTCCTGCCCTCACTTTCCCCTCCGTCCCCCTGAAGGAAAGCCGGCTCCTCTCCAGGCTCAGACTCCTTCCTTCCCCTCAGGGGCGCCTTCCCTTTCGCCAAGCACGGGCTCCTCTCCAGGCTCAGACTCCTCTCCTTCCCCTCACAGGCGCAACTTCGCCTCTCCCGCTCTTCTTTTCCCCTTCTCCTCACAGCCAAAGCTTCTCCTCCTCCTTCACGACGGCTTCTTTCCCCTTCTCCTTCCTTCTTTCCTTCCTTCCTCCACACGACCCTCACCCATCCATTCCCGCCTTCCTCCAGGCTCCTTCCTCTTCTCCTCTTGAGCTCCTGAAATAGAGAGGAGAAGAACTGCAGGCGCTGCTGCTGCTCCTGCTGCTGTTTTTCCTGCCCCTTTTCTCTGTGCGCATGTTCCTCCCCTCCTGTCACCCAGCCAACCTGGGCTCAGCCACCTTTCCCCCCCCCCTTCCTTCTTTCCTCGAGCTCCTCTCCGCAGGCGTTTATTGGGGATCCTTTTAAATATATACGACGTGGCTCCTGGGTGCCACTTCACGGCTTTCCTGGGGATTTCGTCGCAGTTGCAAGCAAGGTGTGTAGTGGCAGGCGCCTTCCTCGCTTGGCAAAAACAAGCCCTTTTGCAGCATCGGCGAGGAGGATAAATCTGTTGATTCCCCCCCCCCCCCCCATCTCTCGCTCTCCTGCATAAGGGCAGGTGGATGGCCACAGCAGGGATTGCTCAGAACATAGAAGTCATGGAGTGGAGCTCCCGGTGGCTCAGTGGGTTCAACCTTTGTGCCGGCAGGACTGAAAACCCGACAGGTCGTAGGTTCGAATCCGGGGAGAGTGCGGATGAGCTCTCTCTGTCAGCTCCAGCTCCTCATGCGGGGACATGAGAGAAGCCTCCCATAAGGATGATAGGAGGGTTGAATGAAAAGTAATGCCTCCACCTTCATAACTCCTCAACAGATGGCAGCACTGGTATGCCGCAGGTAATAATAATAATAATAATCTTTATTTGTTATCCCGCCACCATCTCCCGAATGGGGACTCCAAGCAGCTTACATGAGGCCAAGCCCAAATGACAATTACAATAAAGAAAACCAAAAACACAAACCAAAAACGCGAATAATAAACAATAACATCATAGTTAAATAAAACACATGAATACATAACAATATGAAAAATAAAGAATGTGCACAGGCACACTAATAATGGGCGGGCAACATGTAGTAATCAAGAAGACAAACTGATTAAAACTAATTAAAACATCGGACGAGATAAAAGAGGGAAGCAGGTAATTTACAGAGGAGGGCTCATTCCAGCAGGAGTTGTGGAAGCAAGCTTTCCCATGGGGGGCGGGGGGGGGGGGACATAAACTCCGATGACAGAACTTTGAGGCAAAGCAATCATGTGGGATTATATACTGGCTTGTTCAGGTGCTGGCTTGTTCAGTAGACTCTCCTCTACAGTTCTATTTTGGCATGAAGCCTTAGCATTGAACAGTTGTGTTGTTAAAGTGTGAAGTATGGAACCCTGTGCAGGCAGTCGGTCAATGTGACTTCAGCAACGTGCAGTCATTGAATTCTTGATAACAGAAGGTGTCACCTCAACATCTTTAAACCTACTCGCCCAAAGACGTACAGTACTCACATCAACACAATCACCATAAACAGCTTGCATTCTCTGATGAATCTCCTTTGGGGTGACACTTTCTGCTGTCAGGAATTCAATGACTGCACATTGCTTAAGTCGCATTGACCAACCGTCTGTGCAGGGTTCTATACTTTGAACTTTAATAACACAACCATTCAGTGCTAAGGGTTTCCACCAAAATGAAACTGTAGAGGAAAGTCTACTAAGCAAGCCATTACCTGCCACATACTAGTGCTGCCATCTGTTGAGCAGATCCTGCCATCTGTAGAGGAGAGTCTACTGAACAAGCCAGTATCTGCCACATACCAGTACTGCCATTGTTGAGGAGTTACGAAGGTGGATGCATTACTTTTCATTCAAACCTCGTAATTTTTACTTTTTTGCCCTTTTGGGGAAGGTGTTCTTTTGTATCTGTGTGTCCTGCCTGAAGGTCCAGAAGGGCATCTAGACACCCCCCCCCCCCCAAAAAAAAGAAGAAGCATGAGTTTTGGGGCAGGCGTGTGCACTTTAACCCATGTCAAATCGGGTTTCTTAAACCTGATTGGACATGGGTTAAAGGGCTGTGTGTAATGGGTCTCAGTTTCCCTGCCTTCCCTCAGGATCCTTCCACACAGCCATATAACCCAAAATATCAAGGCATATAATCCACAATATCTGCTTAGAATTGGGTTATCTGAATTCACACTGCCATATAATGTGGATTTTATACAGCTGTGTGGAAGGGGCCTAGGTTGCCTCTGCTGTCACCTTCTCTTGTGGAGGAAAAAACCTCCAATTCTACTGTTAATTTCCCTTATTTGTGATGGAGAAACTTCATGGTGAAGTTACATTTCTCCCTTAGAAATGTGGCGTGGATGGTCGGTCAATGCGACTTAAGCAACATGCTGTCATTGAATTCTTGACAGCAGAAGGTGTCACCCCAAAGAAGATTCATTAGAGAATGCAAGCTGTTTATGGTGATTGTGTTGATGTGAGTACTGTGCATCTTTGGGCGAGTAAGTTTAAAGATGTTGAGGTGGAAACATCTGACTTGTGTGACAAAGAGTTGGACGTCCTGTGACAGCAACCACCAAGTTTCACAAGCAAAAGGTTGACAGATTGATTCAGGACGATCGTCGTATCACTAAGAAATTTCAAGCATAATAGGCATTTCTGTTCCCGATAATGAAAGAAGATCTGCGAAGATATCATTATGCTTCTGATGAAGATGTTGAGAGAACTGTGAGACGCTGGTTGTGGAAACAGAGTGTCGACTTCTTCCGTAATGACTCCAGAAAACTTGTTCATTGTTAGCAAAAATGTATCCAATTGTCTGGTGATTGTGTGGAAAAGTGAAAAGTGGTAGTTAAAGAGCACATTCTAAGGATTATTTCTGCATTTGATTTATTAAAATAATCCCATCCAAACCCAAGTAATGAAGGTGGAGGTATTACTTTTCATTACTTTTCATCCAACCCTTGTAAAAAATCAAAACATTCGGGCGTCCCCTGGGCAATGTCCTTGCAGATGGCCAATTCTCTTGCAGTTTCTCAAGTCGCTCCTGACACACAAAAAAACAAAAACAACTTGATGGAGTGTTTCCAATGAATGAACTGGGATGTTGCTCAAATGAATGTAGGCTCCCACCATATAATTTTAGTACATGACCCACCTGCCTACATTCTCTCTTTGTTGCTCAGGGAGCAATGAAGCAGTTGCTTTGGACAGCATATCCATCTCTCAGATTCTGGTGAATTTTATTATTTTTCTGCTTCTCCATTCAAAATGTTCAGGCTGATTCTGTCTTGCCTCTATGTTATTCTTCCAACAATCGCGTGAGGTAGTCTAAACTGAACTATAGCCATTCCCTTTTCAATCCTCCTTGAGAACTAGTGCATTGGGTTCCTTTAATAGCAAGGGACATCTCTTTTAATGTACCAGGCTTAGCTAGTAGCTTTCCTTCTCTCCTACAGTGGGGGCTAGAAGAGGCAGCAGCATGTTTCCATTCATATATCATTCTCAAACTACAAAGTAATTAGGAGTAGGATGAGAAATAATGATTTTCCCAAGGCCTTTCCTTTGGACTTCATGGCTGAGTAAGGATTTCATCTCAGGGAGAAGGAGGAGGGACAAAGGCTTGTGGAGAAGATGCTAATGAATACATTATGACTCCCATGCTTGGCAGCACCAACATTGTTCTCCTGATCTATAATCCAATGTGAATATATTATTTTGTAAAGCCTGTGAACACTAAACCAACTCTTTTTTTTAATGTTATTATGCAATAGAATGGATCTCTGTAGGGACTTGCAGGAGTCTTTTAATCAATTCCCTAGAATATCATTTTGCATGGATTTGTGTGGGACTCTGGGAACAAGGGGGAGGGGTTGCTTAGTGACTGTCTCAGCTTTTATAATCCCATTCAGAGGTCTTCCCCTCCACATCCCTCATTCAGTTCTGCTTTTGTTTTCCACTTACTATTGGGAGCTGGGATGTGAACCTGATTTAAATCTCCAGAAGGTACCAATGGAAAGCGATGTCTCCTATACCAATGTGTTGCTCACTTTGCTTGAAGTTTTAAAGAAGAACATTTCTCTTGTCTTCTCATAAACAGGAAACATGGGATCGGGATGGAGAGTTTGTGGAATCATAGAATCATAGAGTTGGAAGAGACTTCATGGGACATCCAGTCCAACCCCCTTCCAAGAAGCAGGAAAATCACATTCAAGCACCCCTGACAGATGGCCTTCCAGCTTCTGTTTAAAAGCCTCTAAAGAAGGAGCCTCCACCATGCTCCAGGGCAGAGAGTTCCACTGCTGAACAGCTCTCACAGTCAGGAAGTTCTTCCTAATGTTCAGATGGAATCTCCTTTCTTGTAGTTCGAAGCCATTGTTCCATGCCCTAGTCTCCAGGGAAGCAGAAAACAAGCTTGCTCTTTCCTCCCTATGACTTTCTCTCACATATTTATAGGTATCATTGGACACACTTTAGGTTTTTCACATCCGCAGAAGAGTATTACCTGCCTATTAGCATGTACCAACAAGCCAGATAAGTATATATGAGATCTGTAGATGTAAAGAGAGGGAACCTCTTGACCTCTGATAAATAGGAAACATACGATCAGGATAGAAACTCTATCCTGTTAACACAGCATTCCTCAGCCTGCTGTCCTGCAGAAGTGTTGGGCTACAACTGACTGGGTATGATGTAAAGTAAATAAAATAAATAAATAAATAAAAACATACTTTATTTATTTTCTGCTCTATCTCCCTGAGGGGACTTCCGGACAGATTACAGAACACATACACGGCAAACATTCAATGCCGTTATACAATTGACAAGGACAGACAATTTTTCCCATCTTTTCCATCTCCGGCATCTGGAGGCTGTGCTCTACTCTGGCCATGGGGAGGTGTTGTTGCTCCATCTTCCATTCTGAGGAGCTTTTGTTATCCATAAATGACCTCTCAATTGAATTGTCAGCATGTCCTTACGGGCACCTTTTATTACCTCCCCACTTTAAAGTGGTACCTATTTATCTACTCACATTGCTGTTTTCAATCTGCTAGGTGAGCAGAAGCTGGGCCGATGGCTGGGAGCTCACCCTGACCCAGGCTTGAACTGTCAATCTTTCAATTAGCAAGATTTTCTGCATCTGGTGGTTAACCTACTGTGCAAAAGCCCAGCACTAGTAGTCCAACATAAGAAGCAGACTTTTATTTTGCCATTTTCATGCTTGAAAGTG